TTTAATAAACTTAAGCCCTTTACTAGCATGCAAAGTATATGTTTAAAATCCTCTCCCGTGTTGTAAAAGGTTCTTATCTCCCACTTGTATTCACTCATATTTTTTTACCAACTTATGCATTGGGAACTTATTCTTAATGCATCCTTCTTCATCTATATTTTCACCTCCAACTTCTTCCTCGTCATCGAGGCTTTCTGAATCTTCACTTTCATATCCTTCATTTGAATTTTCTTTGCATTCTATATTAACCTCCTCAATATCGCTGGGAAAATATTCATTACCATCATCCACTTCTTCTTCACTATCATTAAAGTCAATACTCAAGGCACTATTTTCATCAGAATTGTTCTTCATTTGTTATGGAAACCTTTGAATCTATACATAACTCCAGATTGTATAATAAAGAAAGAATTTAGATCAAACGGCAATAAGTTTAAATATATGTGTTAATTCCAGCAAGGCAAATGAACAATGAAATAAGTCTTACTTGCTACGTGGTTATGCAAGCAAGTGGTGTTGGTATACAAGTGAATATTCTAAAACAGGACTCTATTCCTTTCTATTAAATGTGAATTCTGATTCTGACATTATTTTTGTTCACTAGTCTACTTGATAATTCCTATTTGGGTGGCATTTATTTGTATTATGCTTGTTGGTGGTGATCACCATTTTTTACTCCTATAATTGGATTGGATGGTGTAATAAGAAATCTTTCTGTTGTAGGCTTTGAGTCTCTAATACGCTTGTTGGTGGTAATAACAGTTTTTTTCTACATAAAATTTTAGAAAAGTAAAAACAAACAAGAAAACCTATAATTCCGCTTGTTTACTGATGGCTTATTCTGGATAATGCCTAGGGGTTTTGACTCCATATATTATGATATTAGGATGGTGTCTTCTTTATTTTGTAGTTATATTACTCAAACTTGAGCCTTAAAAGTTTTGAATTGATATGAAGACGCCAGGTTTATCCTCGACTTGTGCGTGCCACACAATTTAAAACCCAAAGATTGGGGATGTCTTGGTTGTAGCGACAGAAACTTGGCGTTGGCTCGCGTCTTTTTAACGTCAGTAGATTAATGAAATAAAAGGAGACTATTAATAAAATTAAACTTATCTGGTTAATGATTAATCAAGGTTTAGGTGAGTTGGATTGTAAAGACTTACTAAGACCAAGACATGTCTTCAGATTCAGAAAAAGCTCGCAAAAATACTTACAAATTAACTACTAACAAGATTTTCGTGTCGATAAAATTGAACTTAAAATTAGATCAGATAGTGGAGAACAAGACAACACCTTGAATCTCTTTGTAATGATCTGAGATCACAAATGCTTTTGGGGAGTGATGTCAAATACTCGCAACGATAGAGCGCAAGAAGTTGCAGTGATAAGAGATTTCCAATCCAATCCGGTCATCTTTCTCCAAATAATCCTTTTATTGGTTAGACTTTTGACGGTATGATGGGGTTGGCCTATCTAAAATCAATTCGTCTTGATGGTTCTTAGCCTTTGCCTCTCCATCCAAAAGGGTACGTCTGATTGCACGGACTGTGTTCTTCGCCTTTTCTGCATCCTCTTTAGCATTCCCTGAAAAACTATCACAGTGATGGCGTCCATCTTTACAGTAAGTGATAGTAAAAAAAACGTTAGACCGACGGAATTACTTTAATGCTCATATTATCGGTCTCAAGCCCTGAAAAACGTTAGATCCGTATTTCATGAGCTTTTAATTCCACAAAAGGTTATTCGTTGACTTGTTGGTCTTTGCCTCTATCTTTGCTTAGTTGTTGGATTGCAACGCAACTTACAAGGGGGTTGACCCATTGTCAAAATATAAATGGGCATACACATGTGGACATATGTCATTAAAATATACTACTTACTCTTATTATAATTAAAATATTTTTTATACAAGCATCTAAATGTGTTGGTGATAAAAACAAAAAATAGCTCCGGTCCTTTTTTTTGGATACAACTCCGGTCTTTAATTGAGTTGAGCTGATTGAAAATTTAATTTAGTTGGGCTTCCCGGAATCGTGGTGGAAGAGAAGTTTCTGATGGCAATGGGTTTCGTTCTTTCATCCTCTCTGGCTGTATTGATTGATTTGGATCGTGCTTGTGCCCTAAGTTCTGCGATCCCCAGCATTTCTGAAAGGGGGATTACGTAGCTAAGGCCGAAATGGGCCTAACAAAATCATAAGACCCAGTTGAGGTGCTATAGTAGATGAGGCCCAAGGTCCAAGGCTGCAATTTAGCTCTACGATTTTTCTTATTGCATTCCATGCTCCTTTGAGTGATATAAGAAATGAATAAGAATCAATCCAATTTTCGCCCAGAAATTTCACACTTCAATTACTGTTTAACTGTTTATGTTAGTTTCATTTTTTTTTTAATTTTTTAATGTAGACCTTAATCTGTTGCTCTAATAAGCAAAACAGGAAAAAGAGGCGTGAAAATTAGGAAAGAGAAAGGGATTCAAAGTTCAGACTTAAAGAGATTGAGTTGTCCTTCACTTTTTTCTCCTAATACTAATAATATGTTATTTTTATCTTTTAGACATATAGCTCCGTATAATTTCTATAATTTTTTATTTAAAATATATCTGAAATTATTTTTCAAAAAAAAGGAGAAAATATGGCCATATCTGTTGCTAGGAGTCATGTATAGTGAACATGTAACTAAACTACAACATGAATAGCGCAAGAAAACCAGGAAAAAAAAATCAAGCATTGCAGGTTATATAAAATATAATATGGCATTGACCAGATTAATTTGATATTATATTCCAATATTTTTAAAGAACAAGTTTTCACTTGATGATACTTTGTTTGACATAATTAAATTTAATTATGAAATCGTTAAAAAAAAATTTAATCAACATCCACAGTTTTCTCAAGAACACATTATTCATAGATCGCCACCCTAGAATGTGATCATATTTATCAAGTGCTCGAGCGAAAAATATCAAATTGTCCCCCCAGTGAATATTAATTAAGAAAAAAACTAAAAAGGAGATCAATTAACTGTTGAAAGAGACATCCCACAACAATATCAAATCACATGTGTCCACAATAAAGGCAATGAAATAAACGCATATAACAAGGGGACTAATAATGAGCATGTTACTGCTTACTCAAACATTATGCTATCAAAAGATTACTACCCTCTGGGTGGATTGCATGTGTTGGGCTTGGCGTGCAATGCATTCACTCCAACCTCCAATGTTATATAATGCCCACATTTGGGATATGAGCAAAATCTTGCCGAGCATCATCCAACAATGGGCATCCATATATGCCCAATGTTTTTAATGATCTGAGATTACGAAGGCCTTCAGGAAGTGATCTCAAATACCTGCAATGGTGGAGCCCAAGATGTTGCAGTTCCACTAGATTTCCAATCCAGTCTGATAACCTTTCTCCACAAAATCTTTCAATGAATACACTTTTGATGGTATGATGAGGACGAAGCCTTTCTAAAATCAATTCATCAGAAGCATTTTCAGAGAATTCATCATACGAATAGCATAATGGGTCCCAATACAAGGATAAATATTGATGATGTTGCTTCTCTTTCAATCTTGCAGACTCGGCCTCTTCAGGGTTTGATCTTAGGTGTTTCAACCTACTTATTGCTAGACTCCCTCTCAAGTTGTTAAGCTCACCCAATTCACTTATCCTTGCCCTTGCCCTTTTCTCATGCATCTCCTGGTTATCTACTACAAAGTTTGTTAAGTTTTGAAGAGAAGTTAATTGCTGCAAACTACTTGGCATCCATTCCAACTTGAAACAACGCCAAAGATTAAGATGCCTCAAGCTTACTAATTTACTAATGTCTTTTGGCAATTCCCGAATTGACGAATTGCAACTAAGGTCTAAGGTTTGCAAGTTGTGGAGTTTGGTAATAGTCCTTGGGACTTGCTCAATATCATTACATGAAAGATCAAGAAATCTTAGATGCTTCAATTTTCCAATGCTTTTCGGAATTTTGATCATGCACAAATAACTTAGGCTCAAAACACATAAGAATTTCAACTTTGATGCAACCAAATCAAAAACAGAGTGATCCATCTGACAAGAAAAATATTTCATGGGCAAAAGCATTGTTCTTAATTTTCCATACTCAAGAAAGGAAGTTGGAACTTTCCAATCTACTCTCGGCACATCATATGACAAGTGACATATTATGTCTTTAGTACTCTTTTTTTTTTCTTCTTTAATGAGAAGATACTCATCCTTTGCTACAAATTGTGCCAGACCATAATTAATTAGATCATGCATTTTGCACCCCACAATGTCACCACTATAACTTCTTTTGACATCTTGGAAGAAGGATCTTGAAAGCATATTCATAAAATATTCATTCCCAAGATCTTCCTTACACCTCATTTGATTAGTTGATTGAATGAATCCTTCGGCTACCCACATTTGAATTAGTGTTGTCTTCATGAACACAAAATCTTTTGGGAACAGGGAACAAAAAGCAACACAATTTTTCATGGGTGAAGGAAGATTATCATAAGAGAGTTTAAGAAGAGCAAAGATTCTCTCCTCCAACTTTTCTACCTTCCAAAGCTCACAATTCCTTAAGTATGACAAATCTATTATTCCTTCTAAGATTTTGTCATACACAAGCCTTCCAACGGCTCTAATAGCAAGAGGAACTCCTCCACATTTCTTTACAACCTCCCTGCCAATTTCTACCAACTCCTTATTATTTGACTCTCGACCCCCTTCGAAAGCCATTCTACAAAACAACTCCCACGATCTTTTACAATATAAACCATTAAGGATAATAGGTAAATATGTGCCCATCATCTTTCCCACCTTCTCACTATGTGTGGTGACAATAATCATGCTCCCCTTCGCTCCCATGGTTAATAAACATTTCAACTTATAACAAATCTCAACATCTTCATTCCACACATTGTCTAACACGATCAAAAACTTCTCCTCCTCTATTAATTATCTAAGATCTTGTTGCACTTCCTCCATCTCTTTTCAACTTTTTTGCTCTAAAATCTTTAGAGCTATTCGTCTAACATCAAATTCATCAAACACACATACCCACCTTCGCAACCCAAAATGTTTTTGAACATCCACATGATTGTACACAAGCTGAGCAAGTGTAGTCTTGCCCAGCCCTCCAAATCCAACAATGGGAATAATTGAAACAGTAGATTTCACATTATTGTCTAATAAATAACGTAAAATCTTATTTTTCTCCTCCTCTCTCCCAATAATTTCATCTTCTAGCACAAAAGAATATGTTTGCTTTCGTTCCTCAAGTACAGGTAAAGGCTTAGGAGGGTCGTCAAAGAAATCAAATTGTTTCTTGTCATTATCAATTTCACCTAGCCTTCCCCTGAGTTCCCTCAATTTATGAGCCATCTTAAAGTTATAAACAACTTGGTTTGATTTTGAGCAGAAGATCCGTACCTTCTTTGCCACCTTGTTTCTTGTCATGATTCCCCTCCTCAAAGCTTTAGTGGACAAATCATCAAGCAGGTCATCTGCATCATAGAGGACATCTTTCAATCTCTTCAGCCAAAGGCTGACTTGATTGTTATTGTTGACCCTTGCCTCTGCAACCAGCAGTGTAGCTCTGATGGCAAGGATCGTGTTCTTCATGCTTTCTGCATCATCTTTAGCATTCCACAGCAATTTGAACTCTTCAAGAGTCAAAGAGGTCAGTCACTGTAAAACATTCCCAGCAATGGCGTCCATCTTTTTGGTGTGGGCGAAAGAAATTCTTATGATTCTTAGTTTGTAGGTTTGGTGAGTATTGTTGCAAACTCCAACTCGGGTACTAACAGCAACAAATGCCTTTTACTTTTTCAAAAGCAACTTGCAACTTCCTGTTTGAAAAAGCTAAATTTGTTTCTCTTTTTTCCCCACTTTTCTCTTTTTGATACATAGTCAAAGTGTGCAACATCAGAGTAGTTGCTTTCCATAAGAAATCCTTTACCTCTTCAAATATTGATATTCATGATATTTATAAGAGACGAAATGATGATTTATTACTTTAGAAGATGATTTTCTATGACTTTCGCGGAAGTTACGCGCGGTAGAAAATTCATGGATGTGCCTGTGGAAAATTCAACAGTTCGGCCTGTGCGGTCGAATTCCCATTGACGCGGAAGGATAAGAGTAGAGGCTTTAGTCCACGGTGGGGACAGCTTCTCTCCCACGCCCCATTGCTCAAATCCCAATCATCCGATTTAATATTTAAAAAAAATATTATTTTTCTTATTTTTAATGTAGTACCTAATTAAAAAATTAATGGCAGTCCTACATTAAGAAAATTATATGTTTATTATTAAAATTAATAGGGAAAATGACCACAAAATACCATATGAATTTCAAAAAGACAATGAAGGCATCCAAATAAGCAAAATGAGAAAGAAGGTATCAGGTACCAATCTAGAATTTTGATTTTTAGCCTAAAGACCGAATTGCTCTTATTATGTTTGAAAACTGAGGAGATGGAGAAAGGTAGCAACTGCCTCCTCCTGGCGAAAGCAATCCCCCCACTCAGCGAAACCAATCCCCCCACTCGGCAAAACCAAATCCCCCTATTCAGCGAAACCAATCCCTCCACTGAACTAGCAAAACCGAATCCCCTTACTCGAAGAAACCAATCCTCCCACTCAGCAAAACTAAATCCAAGCTCCTCCAGTTACCGAAAAAGGTTCTCTGAAATCACATTGCCGCCGTCACAGAAGTAAAGTGTTGTCGGTGAAATTGATAACCGTTGCAAGAATAGAGTGCAGTCATTTGAATATATGTAATGTATCTGCTGTCATATAGCTACTGGTTTTTGATAAATACTGTTACGTGAATAGTATATTCCATTACACATGTAGTTAGTATGAAAGTTAATGGTTCAATGTTTACTTTGATGTCCTTCAGGTGCAGTCATTTGAATATATGTAATTATCTATTGTTATATGGCTGCTAATTTTTGGCAAATACTGTTTCGTGAATGGTGCATTCTATTACACAAAGTAGTAACTCTCACTATGAAAGTTGTAAATACCACTATGTGTTTTGTAAAATTTAGCGTGAAATTGTATTGTTTTAGATAGAAAAGTTACCCAGCCCCTCACAAGAGGTTGCAAAACCTATTGAACAAGTAGTAAATCTCACTATGAAAGTTGTTATTCCCAATATATGTTTTGTAAAATTCGGTGTGAAATTGTTTTGTTTTTGACAGAAACGTTGCCTAGCCCCTCGCAAAAGGTTGCAAAACCCATTGAAAAAGTAGTAAATCTCACTATAAAAGTTGTTATTCCCACTATGTGTTTTGTAAAATTCAGCGTGGAATTTTGCTTTTGACAGAAAAGTTGCCCCCCCCTCACAAAAGGTTGCAAAACCCATTGAAGAAGTAGTAAATCTCACTATAAAAGTTGTTATTCCCACTATGTGTTTTGTAAAATTCAGCGTAGAATTGTTTTGTTTTTGACAGAAACGTTGGTCAGCCTCTCACAAAAGGTTACAAATCCCATTGAAAATGTAGTAACACTCACAGTGAAAGTTGTAAATCCTACTATGTGTTTTGTCAAATTCAGCATGGAATTATATTTTTGTAGAGAAAAGTTGCCGTACCCCTCAAAACAGGTTGTCAATCCCCTGGAAGAAGTAGTCAAATTCACTTCACGAGTTATAAATCTCGTTATACGTGTAGTAACATTCTAGGCAAATGATTTAACAATACTTGAAAATTAGGCAGTTTCGTATTTCCTGAAAACAGTTTGCAAATCCCCTTACATACAAATCCCCTTGCAAATCGAAGAACCTTTTTCAGTGACTAGAGGAGCTTGGATTTAGTTTCGCTAAGTGGGAGGGTTCGGTATTGTTGAGTGGAGGGATTGGTTTGGTTGAGTAGGGGGATTCGGTTTCACTGAGTGGAGGGATTAGTTTTGCCGAGTGGGTGGATTGGTTTCGCCGAGTAGGGGCAGTTTTTCTTTCATCGAGTGGAGGGATTGCTTTCACCAAGAGGAGGCTATTTCTACCTTTCTCCATCTCCTCATATTTCAAACATAATAAGGACAATTCGGTCTTTACGTCAAAAATCAAAATTCCATATTGGTACCTGATACATTCTTTGTCATTTTTTTACTTATTTGTCTTTTTGAAATTCATATGATATTTTGTGGTCATTTTTCCAAATTAATATTCTTTTAATAATAAAGCAGGAAAAAGAGGAAGAAAATTGAGAAATATGCTTTGGATGTAATTTATGGTTTTGATTTATGTTGCTGCAAGCCCAGTTTGAATAAATAATTGAGTTGGAGCTTGGAGGGTAATGTTCTGTGACTTTCCCGGAAGTTACGCTCCTAGCAGAAAATTAAAAAGCATTCCTAGCCAACTACGGCGAAAAATCAAATGATCACACCCCAAGCAGTGGTGCCTACGCAGAGGAACATGGGAGGTGGCTTCTTTTCATTCATTTCATCATTTTCTTTTCTTCTTGTGTTTTTTAACATCTTCCCAAAACCCTATTTAAATTTTCTTACTTAGTTATTTATTCTTATCATACCTCTCATTAATATGGGAGCATTGTATTAACAAGTTGTTGGTTAAGAAGGTAGTAACCTTACCCTCCTCATAAGAAGAAAAACACAAATTCGAAACCCGAAAAGCTTACTTGTTTGGAGGATTATTCCTTAACCATTCCAAGTCTAAAAGAAATTAGTTTTAAATCCAATGTGTTTTGAAATACCCTTACTTCACCTACAAAAAAGAAAAAAGGTGGGAGCATTGCTTAAGAATCATTGGTAACACTTGCGAGAAGAATGAAAATTTTCCTCTGTTTTGGTAAAATAGTTGTGTTCTTTATGAAGAACACAGGAAGTAACTTCCTACTTGTACCGCAAAAGGTTTTTGTGACTCTTTCTTTGCATTAAAGTTTGAACTTAATTATTTGCCCTAAAAGAACAACGTTGGGTTGATTAAAGAGCATTTAATATAATTCTCCACAGAATTGAAATGTCATGATATAAAAAAATAATTAAAGCATAATATTTTTAAATCATAAATGTTAATCATAAGGCCTTGGCTAAGAGTAGTGATTGTGGAAGTTGTTGAGTATGACTTTAGTTTGAAAGTTCAGCCATATCTTAATCACTATCGAACTCTTTTTCCCAATTCACAGACTCAAAAGGATAAGATTGATGGCAGCTGGTCCGATTCTCACCACCCCAGCCCTTGAAGTAGATAGTTAGCTATTACTTATCAATTAACTAACAATGATCTGTGGTTTTTTTTTTAATCATTTCCTTAAAAGCAAAAAAAAGGGAGAATTAAGTTAGCTCACATTGGCTAATATCTAAATGGTCCCAGCACACTCCTTGTACAATCTCACCATAAGCCACTATGCTTTTTCATCCCACTAGTTTTAACCCTAAATTTCCTAGTACGTTCTATGCAGAAACACGTCATGTTCTTGCTAACTAAGGGACTCTAGTCAAGAGAAAGACAGCGCAAGACATACTTTTATTTTTTAAAAAAAGGTTAAAGATAAAAAAAATACCTATGAAAATATATCAAAAGTTAACCCAACACCATAATTTTTTTTGAGTTCAAATATACTAATCAAAGTTTAAAAAGAAGCCAATAATGCCAATACCGTTAAAGTTCATTTTTTTAGTAGTGGAACCTACAATTTTTTTAATGAAAATACCAAAATATCCCTAAGAAAAAGAAGTTAAAAGTCAGAAATAGCTATAAACTTATATCAAATGTTCACCGAACGCCATATAATTTTTAATAAAAGTACAAAAATATCTAAATCTTGAAGGGTTATTGCATTAGAGTGTATTAGAGATTATTAATTATAAGAAATTTTATTTCCAAATCTTTATAATTAAAAAAGATTATTAATGTTTCTTAATAGATGTTTTTTCTTGATCAACAATTTTTTCTTTTTTTATAAAAATCAGCCAATTGTTATAGTTATCATATTAATTGTTATGGTTCAAAATATTTTAATTCGATAAATATCATACATAATAATTAAATATCTTTTTGTAACTTATTATGTTTTATATTTTAACATCATTATTGCTTATCTCGGAGTGGTTTAATTTTATATTGGCAAAATAAACATTTACACTTCAATCCTTTGATTAGTATTAATTTGATATTTTCATATTTTTAATTCAATTTAAAAAAATTACTTAATTCTAGAAAAAAATAAATGAGGGTGCTCTAAATTTTAATTGAAATAAAAAATATAAATCCATCTTATAAGGTGGGCTTTTTTCTTAAAAAACAGATAAGCCAAAAGGACCATCAGCAAGTTAAAAGGAGATGTTGGTTTCTTTTTTTTCTTACTAGGGATATTTTGGTATTTTTGTTAAAAATAGTGGGTTCCATTATTAAAAGTGGTTTTAAATTCTCTCAAAGAATTAAATATAAATGTAAAAAAGAATTCAGATTAACTGTTAAATTTGATAACATAAACTGAAAAATAAACATAACTCCATATGTCGTTGATACAAAAACTTATTTTTAAAAGATACCTATAATGTCTATTAAAAAAGAAGATCGGGAGTATAAATAACTTATATTTAAAGTGCAATTCAATTTAAGCTTAAATTTTTTCACATGAGTTATTTTAATTATAAAAATTTATTTTAATTAATAATTTCTAACACACTCTAATGCGATAGCCTTTTGGGATTAGGGGTATTTTCATACTTTCATTAAAAATGTTATGGTATTGAGTGAACTTTCAGTGCAAGTTTGTGGATATTTTTAACCCTTAACTTTTTTTTCGGTTTTAATTGGGGGTATTTTAGTAATTTCATTAAAAAAGTCCTGGGTCCCACTACTTAAAAAATAGATGTTAGAGGCAATGGTATTATTGACATTTTTAAACTTTAATTGATAGATTTGAACCCAAAAAAAGTTCATGATGTTAGGTAAACTTTTGGTATATTTTTATTAGTATTTTTTACTCTTAACTCTAAAAAAAACATGCCACTTATTTTCTCTCTTAGACAAACAACGAAATGGCTATACTTTAGTTTATAAAAATACGGGGAAAGAAAAATATGGACCGAGAGGGAAAAAAATGAAGAATAATTTACTTGTATTGTTGAAGAATTGGATGCTCTGTTTTCAGACCTCATATGCAGAGTAGGTGCGATAAATGAATATCGTTGCCACACTTAACTCATTTACAAATATTAACTAATTTGACTTTCCATTTTTTGCCCCCAAGAGCAAGTTCTCAAAAAATCCCTTACTTTGTTTGACATAAATAAAATTAAAATTATTTAAGAATCATTAAATTTTTTTTCTCCAGAACATAAAAGTTAAAAACTGCAACCTTAGAATGTGCTCAGTCGAAAAAAACGAAAAAAAAAAATCAATGTTCCGGAAATAAAAAAGTCTTCAAAACCAAACACTACTCCGGAAATAAAAATATTGTACAATTTTTTTTTTCTTTTAAGTTAAAAAGACAGGTGCGAAGAGCCTAAGATTAAGAGGAGAATTAAGCCCGCAACCCTCGACTTATGGGAGAGCATCAAGGTCGGCTAAAAGGCTTTCGGCTCCTTACACAAATATTGAATCAAATGGTACTGGGGTGGATTGCATGCGTTAAGCCTGGCGTGCAATGCAATCACTCCAAGCACTGTATCATTAATCGACTATATTATAAGCCATTTTGGGTCCCTTATCAACAAGCAAATTTGGGGATCCCTCTATGGTCAATGTTCATGATGACTTGGGATTACGAAGGCCTTCAGGAAGTGATCTCAAATACTTGCAATCAAAGAGCACAAGATGTTGCAGTTCCAAGAGATTTCCGATTTAGTCTGACAACCTTTGTACATAAAATCTTGCAATGACCAAAGTTTTGATTATTACTGAGAAAATATCAATATGATTAATTTAAAAAAAATTAATAAATATGTTAAATGAATCTTACATGTAAGACTAATATTAATTCCTCAATTAAGTCCTACATTAAATATCATACTAGACTAGTACTATTTGAACCTTTTTGACCTATATTTTCAAATAATCCTTTTCCGTTCCCAACAGTCACTTGTCTCTATAATATATACAAATTATATATGTGTATGTATGTATATGTGCATAAATATATGTACAGACCGAGTGAAAAGTGAAGAATCATTGACTTGTATCTTGTAATGTTGATGAGCAAGATACTCTGTTTCTAAACCCTATAAACAGAGTGTGTGTGATAAATGAATAACGTTACCACACTTAATTAATTTACAAATATTAACTAATTTGATTCTCCATTTTTTGCCCTGCACAGCAAGTTTTCACTTAACACTTTACTTTGTTGACATAATTAAACTTATTATTTAGAAAATCAATATTGCAGAAATACAAGAGAGGCATGGCAATGGAGTTACCAATTTGTTGACAAACTTTCATTTCTGCTTAAGATCTATGCAATATGAAACATAAATTATTATGCAAAACATTAATTACAATTGAGAAGTCTGCACGTCGCTGCCAAGAAGCAGGTGAGCAGTGAGTATTAAATAACAAACTACAGTGGAAAGAGATTCTCTATAACAAATATCAAATCAAACCCTCCAAATACCAATACTATTCTATCGACTTGCAGGAGTTGTCAGTATTCTAATGTTTCTAGCAAATAAAATGGATGCGTTACGAGCAATTTCTTGCCATTCATCACCACTTTTGTGTTGGCATCTTCTATCCAACAATGGCGTTCCGTTTATCTTAAATGTTCGTAATGATCTGAGATGACGAAGGCCTTCAGGAAGTGATATCAAATTCCTACAATTCCAGAGTCGAAGATGTTGCAGTTTCAAGAGAGTTCCAATCCAGTCTGGCAGCCTTTCTCCAGAAAATCCATCAATGCATAGAAATTTGATGGCATGATGAGGACGAAGCCTTTCTAAAATGAATTCATCAGAATTATCTTTAGATAACTCACAATTAGAGGAGAATGTGTCCCAAGACAAAAATAACTCTTGAAGATGTTGCTTCTCCATTAACCTTGCAGACTCTGCCTCTGTAGGATTTGACCTCAGGTGTTTTAGCCCTCTTATTTTCAGAGTCCCTCTCAAGTTGTTAAGCTCACCCAATTCACTTATCCTTGCACTTGCCCTTCTCCTGCGCATATCCTGGTCATCCACTACAAAATCTGTCAAGGTTTGGAGGGAAGTTAATTGCCCCAAACCACTTGGCATCCATTCACAACTGCCAGGATAAAGATGCCTCAAGCTTACCAATTTATTGATGCCCCTTGGCAATTCCCGAAGACCAGCATTAGAACTGAGGTTTAAGGTCTGCAAGTTGTGGAGTCTAGTAATAGTTCTTGGGACCTGCTTGAAATGATTGGCTGAAAGATCAAGAAATCTCAGATACTTCAATTTTCCAATACTTTCAGGAATTTCAGTGATGTTCGACCTACGTAAGCCCAGAACACGTATGAATTTTAATTTTGATGCAACCAAATAAAAAAGAGAGTGATCCATTCGACACGGAAAAATATGCGCAAGCAAAAGCATTGTTCTTAATTTTTCAAATTTGAGTAAGGAAGTTGGAACTCTCCAAACTCTTCTTGGCACATCATATGACAAATGACGTGTTGCGTCTTTAGAACTCTCTGTTTTTTCTTCTTTAATCAGAAGATAATCATCCTTTGCTACAAAATGTGCTAAATCATGAATGAGGTCATGCATTTTGCATGCATTTATATCACCATAATCATCTCTTGTGGCACCTTGGAAGAAGGATCTTGAAAGTAGATTCATAAAATACTCATTCCCAACATCTTCCTCACACCTCATCTTATTAGTTAATTGAATGAATCCTTCAGCCACCCACATTTGAATTAGTGTTTGCTTCTTGAATTCAAAATCTTTTGGGAACAATGAACAAAAAGCAACACAATTTTTCATGGCTGAAGGAAGATGATCATAAGAGAGTTTAAGCACGGCAAAGATTCTTTCCTCCAACTGTTCTATGTTCCAAAGCTCACAATTCTTTAAGTATGACAGATCTATTCCTTCTAAAGTTTTATCATACACAAGACTTCCAACAACTCTAATAGCAAGAGGAACTCCTGCGCATTTCTTTACAACCTCCTTGCCAATTTCTACCAACTCCTGATCATTTGACTCTCTACCCCCTTCAAAAGCCACTCTGCAAAACAACTTCCATGATCTTTCACCATCTAAGCCTTTAAGAATAATAGGCGGATATGTGCCCATCATCTTTCCCACCTTCTCACTACGTGTGGTAACAATGATCATGCTCCCCTTCACTCCCATGGTTAATAAACATTTCAACTTATGCCAAATCTCAACATCTTCATTCCAAACATCGTCTAACACAATGAAAAACTTCTTTCCCTCTATTAATTGTCTAAAGTCTTGTTGCACTTGCTCCATCTCTTTTTGACTTTCTTGTCCTAAAATTTTTAGAGCTATTCGTCTGACATCAAATTCATCAGACACACATATCCACCTTTTCAACCCAAAATATTTTTGAACATGTACATGATTGTATACAAGCTGAGCAAGGGTAGTCTTGCCTAACCCCCCAAATCCAACAATGGGAATAACAGAAACACTAGATTTCACATTACTGTCTAACAAACAACGTAAAATCAAATCTTTTTCCTCTTCTCTCCCAGTGATTTCATCTTCTTGCACAAAAGAGTACGTTTGCTTTCGTTGCTCAAGTACAGGTAGAGGCTTAACAGGGTGATCAATCAAATGAAATTGTTTCTTGTCATTATCAATTTCGTCTAGCCTTCCCCTGACTTCCCTCAATTTATGAGCCATCTTAAGACTATAAACAACTTGGTTTGATTTTGAGAAGAAGATCCGTACCTTCTTTGCCACGCTGTTTGGAGTCATGATTCCCCTCCTCAAAGCTTCAGTGGACAAATCATCAAGCAGGTCATCCGCATCATAGAGGACATCTTTCAGTCTAGCAAGCCAAAAGCTGACTTGATGGTTATTGTTGGCCTTTGCCTCCGCATCCAACAGTGTGGCTCTGATGGCAAGGATCGTGTTCTTCATGCTTTCTGCATCATGTTTAGCATTCCACAGCAATTTGAACTCTTCAAGAGCCAAAGAAGTCAGTCCCTGAAAAACATTCCCAGCGATGGCGTCCATCTTTTCGATGCGGGTGAAGGAAATTCTAATGATGCTCAGTCTGTCGGTTTGGCTAGTATTGCTGCAAACTCTATCTCGCATATAAATAGCAAATAAGGCCACATGTTCGAAAGAACCTCGCAACTTCTTATTGTTTTCCTTTCTTTCGCTTTCTAATCTGATTTAAAAAAAAAAAAAAAACAACTTAAAAAGTTGCCCACATAGTATTAAATTAATTTATATACATAAATCCATATTAGAACTGAACTCATCAATTTACCCAAAATTTCAGTACCAGGTAACGCGCCCTGTGACCTTCCAGGAAGTAAACCCGAAAGTACTAACTCCTGATAGAGATTGACAAGAAGATCCAATCCACTCACACTGCAAACTCCAGCTTGCATAAATAATTGGGTTGCAAGGTAGTTTTCTTGATTTTAATATAAAAATTAATTATCAAGTTAATCTTGATCCTAAATATAAGAACTATTTCTCATATTTATTAAATTTTCATAAATTACTTATATTTATATTTCTTCAACCATAATCAAGTAAGAGAGTAAGAAATGACATTAAGAAAAATAATCATGATGTTTTGGAAAAAATATGTCATATTTCTTATAATTAACTAATTTACCTAAATTCTTTAATCTGATTAAATTAGTTAAATAGATATTATATTAAGAATAGGAGAAGTCATTTAAAAAGAGAGTTGGTATAAAGTTAAAAAAATATATAATTACTAAAAAGTGATAACATATAAGTCCTAGTATAAGAAATAAGTTATTACCAACAAGTTCTTGATTAAAATAGTAAGCAGTCTCATCTTTATAAGGAAGAAAACACAAGTTTGGATCCTAAAAAACGTGAGGTGAAAACTTCTTTTTTATAATTTTTTTTTTTTGGGACCTAAGATGCATAACTAGAGTGTTTTCGACTTTTTGTTTTATTTTCTACAAACCAATACTTTATTCCTAAAATAATGTCCGTCTCTTCATGTATAACCAACAACATTATATATTCACATATAAGGAAAATTGCCGATAAATAATGTGAAGGACTTATTGAGTAATCCAAACACCCCAAAAGATTCTCTCCTCTCCAATTTCCCTCCTTTCCCCTTCCTTTAATGATTCAGATTTAACATTTTATATGCTGTAAAAATATTTTTGAAACCATGATTTTGTTTCTACCTAAATACTCTCTTTTCTCTCTCCTCAAAGCAAGTGAGGGTAGTCTCCTTCTTCTCTTTTTCCATTATTTCATCCACGTGTGTGTACACACACGCATACACAAACATAAAATTACAAACTACTAAAATTTTAAATAGTAATATACTGTATAATATATGTAAAAACTGAAAAAAAAATAATTAATAGGTTAAATAATTTATAAATTTATAATATGTTAGTTTATATAGTAATTTATTAAATTTAGAGTAAATTAGTATCTCTGATGTTATTTTTCCCATTTATGATTTAAGATACGGAATGTAATTGAAAGATAATATTATAGAAGTATCAGAAGGAAAAAAAAATAGGATTCTTAATGTAATTGAGAAATAACATAAAGGTTTTAACATATTAAGTTTATTTCTTTAAAAAAAAAAAAAAAGAAGAAGAAGCGAAACCATCATTTGAGATTAACAGGGTTTGAAATAGCGGATTTAAAAGATGTTTTATAAAATTAATATTATAGGGACCTTTTGAATTACTATTTCCAATTCTTAATATAAGACTATAAAAGCTTGTTTAAGTTTTATTTTGATCATAAATATAAAATCTCAATTTATTTCGTTTCTAATATTTATTCATTTTTTCTCAAGATAATCTTTGTAATAATGATAGTTCTAACTAATACATTTGATCAACAAGGATATTATAAGCTATTAAGTAACTAACTTAACAAATTTTTTTAATCTATTAAAATAAATCAACTATTTGGAAGAATTGAGATTTCAAGATATTAAAAAAAAATTAAACCAGATACTCAATTCGGAAAAACTCGATGAACTGGTTATGAGTGTTTAAATCATAAGATCAACCATAATCTCATGACTTTTAAGAGTGATAGACACTGACAATGGATAGTCCCTTTCGTCTCATTTATAAGTTTTAAACTTAAAAAGATACGTCATCTATCTTATAAATTTTAAAGACATAGTTAAAAATAAAAATATATTTTTATTTATTTATTACTCTTAAGTAATTTTTTATTATACATAAATCGATTGCTTGAAGCATATAAGTGAAAATATTGTTTAGTTAGTGTGGAATATCAATTTTGAAATTGAGCCATATGCTCCCATCCAATTCATAATATAAAATTTTAGTTAATCTTGCTCAAAAGACTCATGAATATCAATTCAATCATTTAATGTTTTTTAAATTAATAAAAGTTATCTACTTTATTCTTATTAAAGAATGTGTCTGCAAAATTCTCTCATGCATTTAAAATCCTCTCTCCTTCTTGTAACAAGAGGGTAAAACTGAAAAACTACCATTAATTGCTCTCTTAATTTTCTCTGCTTTGTCAACTTCTTATCTGTTAGACAAATTTTTTTATAGAAAACTTCTTATATTACAAAGGAAGGGGGTATATCTTTACTATCATCTAGTAGAGATGCTCATAAGAGAGGAAGGGACAGGAACATACCTATCTTGATCTCATCCCAATAAACAGGGATGGGATAGGGTTTTTATCTTGTGCTGGGATGAGAATGAAACGTCCCGCCCAGTTGTTTTTTTTTTAAAAAAAAACATTTAAATTGGGCCAATGTTATTTGGGTCCTTTTTTTAATGTTTTAATATTTCTTTTTCAATTTGGACTCATAAATCCATATAAAAAAGCCATATATAATAAGATATACATATATATATATAATTATCACATGTATAATTCCTTTTCAGGTTTAAAAAAACACTTTCATAAGAAAAATATTAAAAAACACTACTTTAAAAGTAAAATACTCTATTTTTTTTAGTTTGCATCAATTACATATACCTCTCCTCTATTTTAAAAATATACAGTTTAATCTAATTAGTTAACACTGTCAGGAATATTCTAAAAAGATTATAAGAATATTATTTTTAACTGAAATGTATATTAAAATAAAATTTATTTATTATTTTACTTCTCATTCTAATAAATTTCTAAATTATATTTTTACAGTTACGTCAATTTTATTCAGTTAAGGCAAACACAAAAAAAAAATTGATTAAAAATTTAGCTATTTTTTTAATAAAAATATATACACTTAACTAAATATGTTTATAAATTTTTATAACAAAGATGTGTTTAAAAGTTTTGAATTATAAATTTAAATAATTTATTTGAAATATATTTTTATAATTCAAAATAAATCAAAGTAAAGTGATAAAATATTAAAATTGTAAAATTTTATGATTTAGGTCAAAATTAATAAATTTTATAACATATTACAAATTTTAAAGATAACCATTTTTTGATTTTATAAAAATATTTTTTGGAAAATATAAATGTCTAAATACTACTTCCGGTCTTTAATATAAGATTTTGTTTCACTTTTATTTTGGTCCTAAATATAAGAATTCAATCCACTTTGTCTTTCATATTTATATATTTTTTCTCAAGGTAATCCTTCTAATAATAGTAGTTCTAGCCAATACACTTGATTAGCAAAGATATTTTAGAAAAGACAATACATATTTATTACAAATAACTAACTTAACTTATTTTCTTAATCTCCTCAAATTAGTAAACTAGCCCTTATAATTAGGACCGGAGGTAGTAATTATTAATTTAAAAAAGGCATTTTGGTTAAAAAATAATTTCAAGTCAAACTTAACGATTAACTAACAGTTTGGATTGATAAAAATAAAATCTTAAATATAGGAGGAAAATTTGTGTAACATATGTTTTAACTATAAAAGAAGTATATATATACGTTTTCAAAATAAAAAGAAAGTATTTGTAATTGAGATAAAATAGAAGGATAATCAGTATATTTCATTCGAAGAATAGCTCTCAAATTGCTTCTGCATCTCAAAAACTCAATCAGGAAGATGAATAAATCTTCTAAGGGAAAAAAAAGAAAAGAAAAAGAAAACAAGTAGTTACTCATTCAAAGTTTATAGAAAGAATCACTCGCCCTTTTTTGCTTAATAAAAATAAATAGAAAATAATCTTGTATAATGTTTATAAAATAAGATTAGATGACTTAGTTTTTTTTTTTTCAAATTACATATACCAGCCTTGGTAATAATTTTATCCCGTCCCGACATTGTTTTATCCTAAAGATTTTTCGTCATGCCCCCTCTCAAATTGAGCAGGACCGGGACATAACGGATTACCGGTGGGGCAAATTAGACACTCCCACCGTCCAGTAATATCCAACACTTCGGCCCCACAGGCACATGCATGAATTGAAACTTGAAAGTGCCGTCGAATTCCTGTTGACGCGGAAGGATAAGAGTAGAGACGTCTGTCCATTGCGGGGACAGCGTCTCTCCCGTGCCCCAATTGCTCAAATCCCAATTATCTAAATTTAATATTTTAAAATATTATTTTTATTATTTTTAATATAAAACTTAATTGAGAAACTAATATTAGTTCTATTTTGTAAGATCTATTTTATGTATTTATTATTTTTTAAAATTAATCATATTGATATTTTCTCGATAATGATCAAGTATGAGGAAAAAAGAGAGAATTGAGAAAAATACTTAGGATGTTTTAAAAAATATATAAATAAATCTATACTATTAAAATCTAATTTAAAAAATTCATAAGAAAAATATACTTTACAATAATAACTTACCATTATAAATTGTTTAGACTAAATTTTAACCGTTCATTTTTATTTATGTAAAATTACAATATTTTTGTTCAAAAATAATAATATTTTAAAAATATTAAATTTGTACCATTGAAATTTAATGTAATAGTGATAAAAGAGGTAGACGAGGGAAAGGGCTACTTCCCCATTTCTCACCACACCCACTTTTGACTCTGGGCTATAGTTCCTGCATTGCTTTGGGCAT